GAGAAGGGGGTGGGCAGAAAGAGGGAAAGAGAGAATCCCTAGCAGGCTCTGTGCTGTCAGTGCAGATCCCAATGCAGGGGCTGGCTCAATGTCACCAGCTATGAGAACATCATGACCTGAGCCAAGATCAAGAGTCAAACACATAACTGACTGAGCCATCTAGGTGCCCCAACAATTTTTCTTTTTAAGTTTATTTATTTATTTTGAAAGAGAGAGAGAGAGAGAGAGAGAGAGAGAGAGAGTACAAGTAAGTGGAGGAGGGTAGAAAGAGAAGGAGAGAGAGAGAAAACCAAGTAGGCTCCACATTGAGCATGGAGCCCAACACAAGGCTCGATCCCACGACTGTGAGTTCATGACCTGAGCCATGATTCCCCCCAACCACCCAAAGCAATCTTGAGAAAGAATGAAGTTGGAGGCATCATGCTCCTTTATTTCAAACTATATTACAAATCTACAGCAACTAAAATTCAGTATAGTATTGGAATAAAAACAGACATACAGATCAACAGAAGAGAGACTCCAGAAATAACCCTACCCATATATGTTTAATTAACTTATGACAAAGGAGCCAAGAATATACATTGGGGAAAGGACAGTCTCTTCAATAAGTGATGTTGGGAAAACTGGACAGTCATATTCAAAGAATGAATTGATTATTGTCTTACACCATACACAAAAATTATCTCAAAATGGATTGAAGACTTAAACATAAGACCTGAAACCATAAATCTCCTAGAAGAAAACATAGGTGGTAAACTCCTTGACATGGGTCTTGGTGATGATTTTTTTAATCTAACACCAAAACAAAATGCAATTAAAGCAAAATAAACAAGTGGAACCATATCAAATTAAAGCTTCTGAACAGCAAAGGAAACCTAGCCGAAATGAAAAGGCAACCTATTGAATGGGATAAAATACTTGCAAATTACATGTCTGATAATTATCTAATATCCAAAATTAATACAGAACTCATACAAATCAATGGCAAAAAACCCTAATCTGATTAAAAAATGGGCAGATGATCTGAACAGACATTTTTTCAAAGATGGCAAAATGATAGCCATCTATGAAAAGATGAAAAGATGAAAAGATATGAAAAGATATGAAAAGATGCTCAACATCATTAATTATAAGCGAAATACAAATCCCAATCACAATGGGATCTCACCTCACATCTGTTAAAACAGCTATTACCAAAAATATAAGAAATAACCAGTGTTGCAAGGATGTGGAGAGAAGGGAACCGTCTCACACTGTAAATGTGTGAATGTAAATGGTGCAACTGCTATAAAAAACAGTATAGAGTTCCTCAAAAAAAGTAAAAAAAAAGAACTATGTTATGATACAGCAATTCTACTTCAGGATATTTTATTTTTTAAAAATAACCCACTAACTTGAAAAGATACATGCACCCCATGCACCCCTATGTTCATTACAACATTATTTGCAATAGTGAAGGTATGTACCCATCCTAAGCGTCCAATGATGCATGAATGGATAAAATAATTGTGGTATATAGATCTACAATGGACTATTATTCAGCCATAAAAAAAATGGAATCTTCTCCTTTGTGACAACATGAATGGATCTCAAGGGCATTAAGCTAAGTGGAATAAGTCAGGAAAAGATAAATGACATATGATCTCTCTCATATGTGGAATCTAAAACAAAAACAAAAACACAAAACAAACAAACAAAAAAGGCTCAGACCCGGGGTGGGGGTGGAAGAAAGGGATGAATTCTTTTTTTGTTTGTTTAAATAAATTGAAAAAAAAATCCTTTGAAAGATACATGTTTATCATGTAAATTCCTGTCACCTCCAAAATCAAAGGATAACATTTTAGCACCAAAAAGAACTGTTTAAAGAAAGACGAGTCTGTAGGATCAGAATTTGGAAGAAAAGTTCTAGTTCTAGTTCACACTGTATGTCCCAGTTATATAGGAATTACCACATATTCTTGCAACCATATAGCCTTTGCCATGATACTCGACATATCTATTCATACTCTCTGGAACTGTTCTATGTACATAACTGTACAGATCTGTTTGAACGATTTATTGTTTTAGTCATTTCAAAGTTTTCCCAGTGATCGGCTCACAGAGCTGAAGTTGCCCTTGGTAATATGGCTGTTTTTGTTCTCTAATATATTAAGTTTCTCATTTTCAAAACTACCACCTCCATCACCTGAGTGGACTGTTGCTCTGCGGAAGCTAATTTTGTCCAGAGAGAAAAGGAAAGGCCTTGAGAAAAGAAGCCTTTGGGACCCAGAAGCCTGATCTGTGAAGAACATCTGGGGGCCAAGGCTGCACTACCATGATAGGAAGGAGATGGGGGTGTAGTTCAAGCCAAGGTCAGAGACAACTCCACTCTTCATCCGATTGTATACGCACAGAATACCTTTATTGTACACTGAACAGCTAGTAACTTTGGTTGCTGCTGGGGAAGCAAGGCTAAAGAGACTTCTCCTCAACTCCTTTTTTTTAGCATCTTGATCCATATGTTGCTTTTCTCAAATTTTTAATTAAATAAAACACCTCATAAAAAATTACTAAATACATAAGGAAATAGTAAATATTATTTATCATTAGATCAGTTAATAAAGAAAAGCAGTTAATAGAAACTCATCCCAAAGTCAAAGGTAAATCAAAATTTTTGACACACCAAAGTAATTCAATGATGAAAAAAGGTTGATTAACAAACGTTGATGGAACAACTGGATATCCATATTAAAAACTAAATTCATCTTCTACTTTGTATCATTCATAAAAAATAATTTGATATGGATCATAGACCTAAAGGTAAAAACTGAGAGTACAAAATTTCTATAAGAAAGCAAGAAAGTATATAAAATCATCTTCTCAAACTGGAGGCAGAAAAATATTACACGGACATAGAAAACAATAACTATTAAAAATAATAAATTAGGGGCGCCTGGGTGGCGTGGTCGGTTAAGCGTCCGACTTCAGCCAGGTCACGATCTCGCGGTCCGTGAGTTCGAGCCCCGCGTCAGGCTCTGGGCTGATGGCTCAGAGCCTGGAGCCTGTTTCCGATTCTGTGTCTCCCTCTCTCTCTGCCCCTCCCCCGTTCATGCTCTGTCTCTCTCTGTCCCAAAAATAAATTAAAAAACGTTGAAAAAAAAATTAAAAAAAAAATAATAAATTAAATTTCATCAAAATTTAAGACTTCTCCTCACCTGAAAATATCATTAATAAAAATTCATAGTTAAAAGACCAGGAGAAAATATTACAAAATATATATCTGACAAAGAATTATAACCAGAATATATAAAAAGCTTATACATAAGAAAAAGGCAAATAACCAAATTTTAAAAATGCTAAGACATTTGAATGGACACAAAAGAATATACAAAAATAATCAATCAATAAATGAATGAAAAAAGCCTTAATATCATTATTCATCATGGAAATGTAAACTAAAACCATAATGAGATAACACAATGAAATATTAAAGATCCTCCAGAATGGAGCAGTTGAAAATCCAGTATATTACTGATGTAAAATGTTACAACTACTTTGGCAAACAGTTTTTTCAGTTTCTTCTAAAGAGAAACATACACATACTATATTATCCAGCAATTACACTCTGATATACTTATCCCACAGAAATGAAAACATATGTCTACAGAAAGATTTATATAAGAATTTCCCCAGGAAATTCTATAATAATCATGGTAGCCCCAAACCACAAATTATTAAAATATCAATCAACAGGAAAATGGACAAAGTATGATACATTCATACAATAGCCTACACTTCAGCCAAAGGAAAAAAAAAAAAGAAAGAAAGAACAGACCACGGATATGGTGGAATGTCACATGAATGTTAAGAAAGCTGGAGGCAAAAGAGAACATACTGTTTGAGGACATTAATATATAGGATAGTCAAGTTAACCTTTATGGTGTCAAATTCAGAAATATGTTGTCTCCGTGAGGGGAATGGGGATGGGGAAATTTGGGGAGGTATTAATCAACTAAATCAGTGGATCATTCTTTAATGAATTTTTAATTGGTGTTTGCTTTATAAATGTTAGGAGCCAACAAATTAGACAAATTTGTTTACTTCTCTTCATTAGGTTATATTTTTCATAGGTAAAAGATATATGAATTTCAAATAAAAATACAATTGTGATATTTTCCAGGTCTATCAGAAAGATACAGGATTTATGATTTTAAAAGTGGAAGGAAATTTAATTGAATGATTTCACCATGCCTTTGAAGGAATTCAGAAATTTCCACACAAATATACCACTCTAGCATATTGACTATTTTGAGTTAAAGGCATTTAAAACACATCAGATGCAAGTATACTGTGACCTTCCTTCATTTCCTTAGAAGAGATGAAATTCCTAAATTAAAGATATCCTCCCTATACTAAAAGAAACACTTTTTTTTTTTTAAGTTTATTTATTTTGAGAGACAGACAAAGCACAAGTCAGGGAGGGGCAGAGTGAGAGGGAGGGAGAGAGAGAAAGAGAGAGAGAAAGAGAGAGAGAGAGAGAGAGAGAGAGAGAATCCCAAACAGCCTCCACACAGTCAGCACAGAGCCCAATGTGAGTTCAAACTCATGAAACTGTGAGATCATGAGCTAAGCTGAAGTCAGACACTTAACCAAACGAGCCACCCAGGTGCTCCTAAAAGAGACATTCTTATCAAGAGGATAGGAGGGAGAAGCCAAGAGAAATGCCTACAACCAAACCTTTAAAAAACAGCAGCAACAACAACAACAACAACAACAACAAACATTACAAGTTGTATCCTTTGCTTCTAAATCTGTCTTGTGTCAGTTTAATTCTTAGGCCTACCCTAAAATCGTAAAAGGATACAGGAGAAATTTTTCCTCCTCTACACCTTATTGTATAGATATGTTATTTGTAAATACCATTAACACATCTATCCAAAACCATTCCTTACCACATTTAGAAAAGAAACTCAAAAGCTTATTATGTACTTTTTAGAAATTATATATTATTCTAAACTTACCAGAAAGACAATTGTTGCTGACATCTAGTTTTTCCAAAGAAACAAAATGAAAAAGCGGTATGATTTTTGTCAAGCTGAAAACAAAGAAATAGAATTCATAAAAATTTTAAATTGGAATGTCCTTATTATGACATAACCACATAATAACGTATTAATATAACACAATTATGTGATAATATGCAATTGTATATGATTATATATACATATATCATTATATATTTGTATAATAAAATGCAATTATAATAACATTAAGAGTGCTAATTAAAAATGTAGTAATCATAAAATTCTAAGTATTTATTCTATAATAGAACATTTGTATTCATTTTTAAGAGAAAACACCATGTATCATCAAGTTCGATGACAAATATCATGGATTTTAATGTGTACATGTTATTTAAATAAAAATAAGTGAACTTTTTTATTATTGTTTTTGTTTGGTTTTTGTATAAAGCCAAATTTACAGAGAATTTATATTACAGATATATTTTGTCCTGGCTCAAACACATAACTTAAACCATGAAGAGGTTAAAAATGTAAAAAATATTTGTTTTCACTTTTCAACAGCATAACAGATTAGAGTTACTAGTTTTGTTTTAAATTAATTTTGTTTGTTTTCCAGATCAAAAGTATTATAAGTATTGCAATTATCCAAAGTTACACTAAGGTTATTTCTAAACTAGAAATATGCATCTAAGCAACATTATAATAGAAAATGTTTTATACAGATAGAATGAACCTAAATTTGGCAGAAATATGCAAAAACTTAAATTAATAATCATTATTAAGGCATGCATATTCAAATTCTAGCAATAATGAATTTTCCTCCTGCATCTAAAAGTTTCTATCATTTTCTAAGATATAGTTGTCAGTAAGAACCCAAATTCAAGCCAGGAACATAAGTGATATTCAAAATATTCACATCACTGGAAACAAAAGCCATGAAGAGAAAATTAATTTAGTTTGATTTGCATTTCCAACTAAGACAATTCTACAGTTTAGTCTGTAACACAAAACCACATTACCATAGCTATTTAGAAATAAAAATTAAGCCAGCTTTTCTAAATCTTTAAACAACAGAAAAATTCCTTTGCTTGAAATATATTCTCATTACAAACACAAGTCTCCTGAACTAATCTTCCGTATAAATGTCAGAACTCCGTAACAGTTCAAAATATGCCTCAACTAACAGAATATTTCTGGTACAAAAGAAAAAAAAGTATGTATTAATTTCCACTTCTTTTCTTTTCTTGTTTTTTATACTGTCCTTCCAGTTGTCCTGGCAGACATTTTTACATCTTTATTTCTACTATCTCCTTGTCATGAAAAAAAATCTATTATTCTAAGGTCAGAATCTTATAGAATAATACTGTGACTAGAAGCCTCATGGGGTCTGGCACAAAACTAACCCTTGTACTGACCTTGACTCCTTTCTTGTACTATCCTGTTCTGCATTAGCAGAGAGACAGAAGATACTACCGATGAAAAAACAGACTAAATAATGAGACTGGAAAAAGTTCTCTCTGACTGTAGCTAAACCTAAATACAATATTACTATTTATGTTAAGCCTATACAACACCACTTCTTACATACAATTTCCAGGAGGAAAGAAAATCCAAGATAATAAAAGAGTGATAAAATGTTGGCCATTACATTTATATATACACTTCATTATTTGTACATATATTCCTAAATAGTCAAATTTATGAAATGTCACATGTACAATGAAAAGGAAGGAAGGAAGGAAGGAAGGAAGGAAGGAAGGAAGGAAGGAAGGGAGGGAGGGAGGGAGGGAGGGAGGGAGGAAGGAAGGAAGGAAGGAAGGAAGGAAGGAAGGGAGGGAGGGAGGAAAAACAACCTAAAACTTTGTTGCTACATAATTAGTGGATTTAAATCCTAGTTTTATGATTCTCCTACTCAGCATGTTTTGGATCATTATCATTACAAGCAGGAAGTTTAAGTTCCTCAATATAATTCTAATGAATGTATTTATCAACAAGAAAATTCTTACTTGTTTGGTACCTTTAATAAATTTCTAATACTAAATCTTTGTTCTTCTACTAAAAGGGTTTTGAAAGATTAACAGGTAATGAGTTTTCTTCTTTTTTTTCAGACTATTTCATGTTTTTAACCAGTAAGTTATATGGTAAAGTGTAGGTAACATATAGGTTATATGAAGACTTCCAGTAAAATAACCAATAAAGTCTTAGAATTAAAAATAAAATTCTCTTTTCAAAAATCAATGCAAGTAAAGAAATATTTGGTTTGACTGAATATTTTTATAATATTAAAACTTTATCTTTTCAGATAACCATGCTTTTAGAATTCTGTTCTTTTTCTTTTTTAAAAGTTTTAATCAAGAAAACTGATTATTCATTCACCTTTATGACTATTCATTAGGATGGTAGAAACCTAATAGTGGAATTCTTTTTTCAAACTTCTAGAACTTTTCCTTTTACTGACATTCTGTGTATATTTTTTCCAAGAAAATTCAAACCAGAAAGACAAAGGACATTAGTGAAAACCTAATACCATTTGACCTTGTCACATTAGCCCTGGGCATAAAAAAGATATAAATTTCAAAGACGACAAAAAGCAAAAGATTTGTACAATGAGCAGCCAATGGGTAATAGTTTCCACTTTCTGCTCCTACTTAGAGTCTCACTGGAAGTAGAAAGACTTATGAAGCCGGGAGTCTTCCAGTTAGGACTCCGCTGAGTCAAACTTAAAACAGTCATAAGTTCTAATGAAAATTTAAAACAGAAGTCAAGATGAAACATGTATTTCAAACAATATGTACTAAGTATCATTCCTTATTGTATTTCATTTGTTGGGGGGGGAAAAGCATATGGACACATAATTTCTTCCTTGTGGTGAAAATATCAAAAATTAAGAGAAAAATATTTACAATTTAAAAGACACACCAATCACAAATCCAAATATCGCATTTATGAAACTCTTCTCAGATTTGCAAAATATATTGACATACATTTTCCTTTTAGATCATCATTAGAATCCCATGAAACAGGTAAGGTAGGTATTACTACCTCTTTTATATGTAAAAAAACTCAGGCTCAGGCAGTAAGAAGAGAATTGCTCAAGGTCAACTGACAGGTAAGTTGTAGGTTCAGAATTCAAACCCAGATCGGCTGCCCTTGAGTCCATTTCTGTCAGTCACATCCCTGATGTCTTTAGGCCTTTTCCCTTTGTCCTTTCAGAAATGGTAGATGAAATGTGCAAAGAACTTTGAGAGAGTCATAAAGAATATATTCAAATATGTGACAGTATTAAAAAATTCGAAAGAACATATTTATATAATAAATTTACTTATTTTTATATAGTTAAGTTCAAAAGATTAAGTTCTTTTATTGTTAAGAGTTTTTTGATGCTAAGAACATATATTACTCAGTTCTGTGTCCCCCAGAATAGCAAACACCACCACCAAATGTTATAAGGTTAAGCAAATAAATTTATAAATAAGGATTATTTGGATTAAGTATCCCAATTATTATTATCAATTCTAAAAAACATCTAGTGATCAAGTTTATATAATTCCTAGTAATAGCAGATTGATAGGTCAAAAGTCTATCAGAAAGATTTCTTTGATAATCTAAATTGTCCAAAAAAATTAAAGGCATTATTTCTCAAAAAAGGTTATTGACTCGAATATTTTTTAAACTCATTAAATATAGGGGCGCCTGGGTGGCGCAGTCGGTTAAGCGTCCGACTTCAGCCAGGTCACGATCTCGCGGTTCGTGAGTTCGAGCCCCCGTCAGGCTCTGGGCTGATGGCTCAGAGCCTGGAGCCTGTTTCCGATTCTGTGTCTCCCTCTCTCTCTGCCCCTCCCGCGTTCATGCTCTGTCTCTTTCAGAGCATGAACAAAATAAATAAATAAATAAAATAAATAAAAAATGTTGAAAAAAATTTTTAAACTCATTAAATATTATTTTGCTCATTGATGTGGTTTAAGGTCCACTTCTATAAGATGTGTGAGGTATGTCAATTACTGAGTGATTTATTGCATATGTCTAAAGCACAGCTGAGCATTTCCATTGAAATTGTGTTTCTTACCTGGAAAATATTGTGAAGAGATCCAGTGAGTTTGTGGATGGCCCACATTACTTAAACAATGTTGTCTAATAGAGCTGGCTCTACCATAAATGTCCTCTTAAAACCAAGTCAACTTTCATAGAATAGAGCTGATTAAAATAATTTGAGGGAATTTTTGAATACAGATTCAGTTTTTGCTTTACCAAACAGTGGAACAGTTTAATAGGTATATGTTAAATCATTTGGGACATACATGCTCAAAGGATGAGCACTTCTGTGGCAGAGAATGTGAGAATATTTGATGATTCTTTTAGGAGAAAAATATATATGTATTAAAATCAGGCTGTACTTGTTCACTTGTTCCTCAAGAATTGTATACCTCAAAAAAGCAATTTCTTGTTAAAGGTGGTTTCTATCCCCTACTCCATGTGACTTTGATGAACAAATTAATCATATTAGAGTGAATAGGTCTCAATGAAATATTAAGCAGAAGGAGACATACGCATATTGTACTCCTGTTTTGGTTTTAGACAGTTTTTCCCTGCAAAGATCCAGATGTTTGGTGGTTTCAAATGGATCTTCTGTGTCAGGTACCCATCTCGATTTAATGTTAAGGTATTTTTTTAAGTGTTACTTTATATCCTTAGGGAAATCGAATTTAAATCAATCTTAACAGTTACAAAAAGACATGCAAGTTGAGAGCAGATTAAAAATCATTCTTCCAGGACTTAATAAGTACCACTTGAGAGAATGAGACATCCTTCTGAATTAAATTAACTACCTCCTGCATTTTCCAAGGACTATATTCTTTACAAATATAAACAAACCTGCTCTGGGAGATTTCTACAAGTAGGTCTTTCAGAAGAAATAAAATGAGTAGGATAAGTGGCAATTAAAATTCTACTAAAATTCAAGGGTATGGCAATACACTACTTTTTCAAATCCATTAAGGTTATATTTCTAACATATATATTAATTTATTGTGATGCACTTCCACTAAATTGCTGGGAAAAACTAACAACTTTTCTACTTGTTATGAAGATCAAGCATTTACTTTAATCATTCAATGCATTTAGTGCTTAAGCAGTTTGTTTTTACCTGTTTTGAGAGATAGTCAGGTTTTGTAGTAAAGGCAACCAATATGAAGAAAGTGCTTCCACAGTTGAAATGCTATTATCATCCAAGTGCAATTCTCTTAGTAGAACATGATTCTCCAAGGATGGAAGCTATATTTAAATTTGGGTCATTAGCTAATATTCAGCAAAATATTTTGTCATTCAACAAAATTCAAAAACATAAAACCTACTAAAACTAACAACAGACATATTCTGTTAAATTCAGAGTATAATGTTATAAGAATTTTAGGATGAATTAAATGTATAAGAATTAACTTCATAATTAGAATTTGATTTTTTACACAAGTTATCTCATCATAAATTTTAATTAGAATTTCTTGATAAATTGGCCCCATTTATATAGTTATATTTTAACTGAGTAGTTACTATTTATTTTAGTGTTCTGAAAAACTTATGTTAAATTAGATTTCTTTATAAAATATTCTATGTTGAACATTTTTTTTTAAATAGAGAGAAGTATGTAACAGTTTTAAGTAAACTGGAAATCACATATCAATAATAGGCAAAAAAATAAAGAAAAATTAATCAAACTTGCTTTTAAATGTACAGTTGATATTTCTATTAAAAGGAAAATGTTGCATTAATCACAGAAACCAATAATTCAAAGCAATTACCTCACTTAGATAATTTCCCTGTAACTTCAGTATTTGGAGTAATCCACACTTTTCAATACCTTCAACTTTAGTAAGATGATTATGTGAGCAATCCAGGTATATAATGGTAGGAGTATCACAAAGGCCTTTTGTGTTAATTAACTGATTGTGGTCCACAATTAGTTGCTGAAGATTTTTCAAAGATTCTAAACCACCTGAAAGAAAATTTTCCAAGATCACTTGCATTGTACATTCTTCCAGAATTGAAAGGAGAGCTTCCATATTTTTCTAAATAATTGCATCTTTATATTTCCCAATATTTCTAGTTACAAGTGAAGACTTAGTCCATATTCCTATGAAATGTGTGTAAGTGTAAAATGTATTATTTTTTAAACTTGTACCCAGGAGAGATATTTTTGAATGACATAGTTGTGTGCCAATTTAAAATTGAACAAAATACTAAAAAGTATACATTGACACTGAAAATTTTATTTTCAAATGACAATTGAACAAGGGAGAGATAAAAGGACTTGTTTTTTTTTAAATAGTTTTTAACTCAATTTCAGGGTCTTTAAAGTTTGAATCCTTACTTAAGTCTGAATATATAACATTGGAATGCCATTTTCCTACCATTGACATATCTATATTAGATTCCCAAATAATGTAGGTGCAACCATATTAACAACAATGAAATATTAACATACTCTTCAGGTATTTCAACATTGTCACAAGTGGTCCGCTTTTAACCCAGATAGAGCTCAAACTAATATGATACTATATGAAAAATACCAAAGGAGCCTTAGACTACAGCTCAGTGCTCCTAAGGAAAAAACTGAGAACGTTGTTCAAGTAAGTCATCAGGAATTAGGATTGGAAAGAAACACTGAGGAAGTCTGTAAAAGTTTCATGGAAGATATTAAAAATCTAGAAAATGTTATTTACATTGAATATTGAACTATATATGATCTCTCTATGCATCACACTATTATATGAAATAGGCAGTTTTAAAAACTGGAAGTATGGCTTATGGTCTAAAATAAGTACAGTTAAGCAGAATGTCTTCAGTGAGTATTACACATATGGGAGTCATTGAGGCTAAACTTTGGAGAATCAAGCTTCATTGTGATTTTCTTGTCAAACCCCAAAATATTTTTTTTAATTAAATGTTGGATTAGGCATGAGTTTTCAACCAAAAAAAATTTATTTGATAATAAACTGAAAGGTAATCTTGAAAGAAACATCATTATGTATAAAAATATATCTGGAATTTATGTAATAAATTTATCCTGGAGACATTTAAAGCATTAACTCAAGGTTTGTTCTTCTGATTATACCTTGTAATTTATAGAAAGAAAGGGCAGAAAGACTGCTTATATCAAAATGGAGAAATAAAAGGAAAAATCAAGTAACATTACCAAGATTTCACAAGAAAGCTTAGTCTGTATCATATTTTAAAAATATATCTAATATCAATATGTAATATATAAAATTCAGAATTATGATAAATATACAAATATTTCAGAGATATATTTTAAGAAAAACTATATATCAAAATTTAAGTATTTCTAATAGTTTGGGTCAAAATAATTTGATATTATGCATGATTATTTCTTATGAAAAGTAATATGTTTTTATGCTAAAGAGTAAATTTTCTTATAATGATAAATAAATTTTATAATATCTAAGAAAAGCAGGAAAATGCATCGAAGACCTATAGAAGAGAGAGAATGAAATTTAAATGTAGGCAGTAATCTTGCATTTTTAACTGCTTATCTAGGATTATATGTACTGGTATTTTCTTGTAATGTAAAATAGCAAGCATAACTTAGAAAAATTGTCATCTGTTGTTGTTCAAGGAGTGAATTGTTCTGCCCTATAAGAAATGACTAACCATTTAAATAACAGACCAATTATATATTATTAATTCTAAGGTATTAGAAATAGCATATTACATATTCTAATAATTATATATTCGTTAAAATGTAATTTAAAGTTTGCTGAAATAGAAAATACTTTGGAATTTAGTATTTCTTATGATCACTTCTAAAGAATATCAGTAAACCCACTGAAGTAGTTTAAAGGTATTCAAGGCAGAAGGAAATGCTAATAAAAATTTGTAATTGTGTAAAATAAAATTTCCTTTATCAAACATTTACACATGTTAAGCAATCTACTTCCATAAGCTTAATATTTTTAAAAGCCACGCACATTGCTCTTAAGCTTTTCAGAGCTATTCAGAAATAGAATCTTCCATTAAATCATTTAGAGTTGGGAATGCATTTGTAAAACTTTTCAAAGGTCACACAAGAAGAGAACCAAGAATGAAACATTAGTCATACACTGAGTAAAGCTAAAGGATTTGGCAGAAGCAGCCTAAAAGAAATAGGAAATAGCAGACCAAGCAGCAGAATAATTGGGAAAGAACAAGAGGAAAAAGCAAACGGAATTCTGTGATGATGACAGTGGTTACTAAAAATAAAAAATAAAATAATATACATTTTACAATTATGAAAGGCATTTTTATTCACAGTAAATTATATATGGCCAATAGTGTGAACAGGAGTATGGAGAGGCCACTGTCTTGGCAGTCATGAAGTAGCTAAAGACTTTTGTTAGAGGCAACAATAACATAATCAAGATGGAAGTCACAGTGCAGTAGAAGTGGGGGCAAGGAGTATAGACCGTTTTTTTTGATACTTGATTATGGAGAGAAGGTCATCTAAAGTGCTCAAAATGGCCCACAAAACCCTATATTTGAACTCATCCTCTACTACTATCCCATTATCTTGGTTCATTCTACCATGTTAACCTCATTGCTGTTCCTCAAACATGCTACACGCACTTCCACCTTAGGGCTGTCTGTATATGTAAAAAGCAATATGAGAGTGTGAATATGTTAGGCTAGGAAGAATTAAGTAATGCCCACCAACTAATTTCAAACATTAAGACACCATGATTTTTAGCCAGTACACAAAGAAGGTATAATGAGTCCATTCAATAATCTGTTTGAGATTCCAATCTAGTGGAATTACCATGATTTCACGCCTCCAATACCGAGGAATATTTGACAGAGCATTTGCACTTCTATGAATCCATTACATAGTAATACACACACAACTACAAAGTAAAATGTAGAGAAACTCCTTTCCATACTATTTAAAACAAAGAAATGGAGATAAGTTAAATGTCTATCAGTAAGGGAATAGTTAAATAAATTATGGGGTATCTAAAAATGAATACACCTAATCTTCAATATGAAGTAGTCTGACATAGAAGGATGTCCATGATCTATTACTATATGTAAAACCTAATTTGTATACATAGGCTTTTAGCCATTTGAGTGAGTATATTGGAATTTAAATCTATACATCTATATTGGTATTGCAAAAATATCTTAATTGATTCATAAACAATTATGAGCCATGGTTACTCTTACAAAATAAAAAAAAAAAAGAAGGCTTAAACAGAGAATGTTTTATTGCTTACATTATATAATTCTCTATTTTTAAAAAATGCTTAAATGAGAATGCACTTCTTGCATAACAGATTTAAAAACAATCTATTTGGGGGAAAAAACTCAGAGCAAGTATTGAATAGAACTGTTACTTTGTATTTAATCCTGACTACCACCACTACCAACAATGATTGTTTAACTGAAGAAAACCTTGGAAAACCTGATCTGCTATTCATTAAAAGGGCTTGCTATAGAGCCAAACAGGGGAACTCTGTACTTAGATAAGAGGACATACCTCTTCGACTTTAAGATAAAAGTTTTAAAGGAAATGCAATGAAACAGTAGACAGAGACTGGGTAAGATCTCTATAGCACTGGCCTAAATATAACTGTGAGGGAGGATGCGTATATGAATATATATATACATATGTGTATATATACGTATATATATGTATATATATGTGTTATGCATATGTGTATATATATGCATATATATAGCCTAAAACTTAGTTTAATGACAAAAAAAAGGAAATCATTTTTAAAAAATCTGTGAATTATGTGGAACTGAGGCATGCCAACAAACAAGTGCATGAGCTCAGAAGATCTTTCAGCCTCATTGAGCCTTGAGATGACAGCAGTTCTGGTTGGCAGCTTGACAGCAACCTCTTGAGAGATCCTGAGACAGAACTACCCAGTTAAGCCACTCCCAGATTCTTGATCCACAGAAAATATGAAGTAATAAGTGTGTGTGGTTTTATATTGCTCTTTTAGGGTACTTCCCTTCACAACAACATACAACTAATACAGTAAGGATTACATTCTGAAGAAAATATGAGAAAGAAGAAAATATGTTGAAAATCCTTGGGGTGGTAGAAGGACAGTTAAAGAAACTTAATGTAACAAGAATTCAAAGATATTAAAATAACAGATGGGTACACAAGTGGACCAAAATAACACCATGACAGAACTAGTAAATACTTTAGGAACAACATTCTACAGAACAGAGAACTAAAGCTTGAATTGCCCACAAAAAAAAAAAAAAAAAAAAAAAAAAAGAGAGAGATCATCACATGAAGAATAAAATATGAAGAAGCTGAAAATAAAGACATAGATTAGATTAAATAATAATAGACATGAAAGACAGATAAACTCAACCAACATATGAATCATCTATGATTGAAAAATAGAACCAAGACAAAAAGTTTTCAAATATATAAAAACCAAAATTTTCCAAAAACAATATAATAACTTAGTCTGTAGTTTGAAAGGGACATTGTGTTCCAAACAAATTTATGTGGATTTCTTGACTATGTTTCTTGGTTCAGTTATGAATCAAGGACAAGGAAATGTTATTCAGGTATCTACACAAAAATCAGTTATGAGGGTAGAAAATCAAGTTGGCCTCTCACTTGCAATAGCAACACACAATATCATGTATTGTCACACAGCACCAAGTGAAAGTGTTACTTGCATAATAAAGTATGAGTTTATTTTTCTTTAATGTTTATTTATTTATTGTGAGAGAGAAACAGCATGAGCAGAGGAGGGAATGAGAGAGAGGGAGACTCAGAATCCGAAGCAGGCTCCAGGCTCTGAGCTGTCAGCACAGAGCCCGACGCGGGGCTCAAACTCACAAAACTTGAAATCATGACCTAAGCTGAAGTTTGAAGGTTAACCAACTGAGCTACCCAGGCACCCCTAAAATATGAGTTTAAAGCACAGCTTTAATCTCATTCAAGAATGAAGGCAATTGACAGTCTCA